GACTCACCAAATACAGAATCAATCACCTCACTAACAGATATTTGCACAAAACAGTTCTATTTTCACTCAATACACGTTTAAAAGTTTAGTTTTTGTTATGAACTCGCGAAAATCTTGATTTTCGATAAGTTCGGCCTAACGTAGGGGTGCCAGTTTTGTAACGGGGACGTAGAATATGAAAACACCGCGCGTATTAAGAGAATTAAACTTTAATGTGTGAAATATGAATATAAACAGAAATATGAATAATTATTTTGTATTATATCGATTAGTATCTATCTCGGATCGCGTCAATCTCACTCTAGTTGTCTGTCACTCGATAGGCGGCAGCACTATGATGTAGGCATCAGCGTTGCCGTTTCGAATTTCGATACATATGTACTGAATTCAGTACATTTTTCTACATTTAGTACAAAAGTACATTATGGTAAAATTTACTAAAATTTAGTACATTTTACCACTGACTATTTTTAATTACGCAAATAAAAAAATTAGAGCTAATAAGTTTTTATAACTTCTGGCTTGTACTGTGGACTGAATAAAAAATATATATACATTAATAAATGGCGCGCGCCATCTGTATCTCGTTAGTTGAAGCGGTTTGTATTATTATGTTTCATTTTTTATTAGCTAGGTGTCAGTAAAAATCTCAATGAAGGGGTTCCCCGATTTCGTGTTTGTTATTTTAGTTTAATTTCACTGATTTGCCAATTTTGCCATTTTCATTTTCTGTTCAATGTTTTCGTTGTAGTGTAGTGATTTCTTGTGTTTTGTGGATTTGTTTTATTAGTAGACTAAGGACCAATTCCACCGTTGTGTTGAACGGAGTTTAAAATGACATTTTTACATTAACAATGTCATTTTAATCTCCGTTTAACACAACGGTGGAATCGACCCTAAACAGAATATTATAGAATTAACCGGTGCCATGGACAAGTAAGTAGGCAGGTTCACACAAAACACTATTATGTATTACCAAGGGCCGATTTCACCGTTGTGTTAAAGGAAGTTTAAATTTCTAAACGAGGATTAAAATGACATTGTTAATGTAAAAATGTCATTTTAATCTTCGTTTAGTAATTTAAACTTCGTTTAACACAACAGTGGAATCGACTCTTAATTTGTAAAATCTTATAATAATGTGTTATATGTTAAATGTTATATTTAATATATTAATATTTTTGAATGTTTTTAGAAATAAAAATTTTTGTTTAGTTAAATAAAGAATATTGTTGAAATGTTTGTATATTTTAATTACTTACTATAATGCCGCGTTCACAGAACGTCTGTCGTGGTGTTACTGTGCTTATTCTTTACTATGTGATAATATTAAACAAGATTAGAAGTAATGTCGATGCGCTGTTAACTTTTAACATTGCTAATGTAAAAATGTCATTTTAAACTTTAACACAACGGTGGAATCCACAATTAGATACATATGTACTCAATTCAGTACTGGGGGTCGATTCTCGACTCGTAGGAATTTTTTCCTATAGGAATTTTTGACATTTTTCTATACATAGAAAATTTATGACATTTTCCTACATATAGGAAAGTGTCACAAATTCCTATAGGAAAAGGTTCCTACAAGTCGAGAATCAACCCCCTAGCGTAATACATGCAGTCCTGTTACAATGACGTCATATTTTTAAAAAGTACATTTAGTGTTAATTTAGTACATTTTTGCCATTCAATTCAGTACATTCTCCTGTGGTGCTCCGGCAACGCTGGTAGGCATGGGTTCACGGATGCTGCTAACAGGAAACAGAGCCGGTTCCAGGGGTCGTGTTACAAACGTCTATTAAAAGTCCATTATCTTTAGACAATTTCAGTAAAGAACCTTATACCATTAAGCAAATTACCAAATTATGATAACTTGATCGATAATATATGCTTGACAGAAAACAGAATAAACTTATTCAGAATAATAATTACATTGTTGTTTCTACGCACTTGACTGAACTAGACAACTGTCACTTAGGTACCTTTATAGGTAGTTTTCCTATCGCATTGCAAACTGGTTCAAAAATTCCTGTATTCATATTCAAAACTTACTACTCCACCAGTAAGCTGTTAGAAATAATAAATAAACTTTAACGCCCTATATCTTATTCTACAGCAATATTTTATTGAGATATATTTGATCCTATCGCCATATTTTGATTCAAATAACCCGCCCTTAGCCTATGTCCTAATACTTATGAATTTGCCTGTATCCTGTATAGATTAACTCGTGCAACATGTCCTTGCGCCAATCGGTAGGACCTTCCGTAATTTCAAAGTTCGTCTAAAAGAACGTACGCATTTCCTTTAAACAAACATTACGGGCTTTTCTCATTTTACCGCACCTTTTAGAGACTGGACACGATTTCGATTCAAATACAGGTTTCGTAGTATTGAATGTTGTGATTTCCAACAAATTTCTAATAAATAACTTTGAGAACCTAGAAATTTAAAAAAAAATATTAAATTCAGTCCCACATATTTCTTGAACGCATAAATCTAATTCATTAGTAATTAGGGTTTCCACCTTTTTGAAAAGTGAATGAAGGACAATAATGCTGATAGGGGACTCGGTATAGAAAAAAAAAAACAAAAAAAAAGCTTGTAAACTTTTGTAAAGGCCAGGTCTCTTTCAACGATATTAAAGAGTAAAACAGGACATATGCCGTAAAAAGGACATTTTAAGCTTTAAAAAGTCACAAGGATATTTTGCTTGAAAAAGGACAGGTGGCAATCTTATTAGTAATCCGACTTTGTCTGTCCTTATTTAAATTTTCATTTTATTTTAGTCTTATCAATCATTAACTCACAATAATATCTTCCTTCCTTTCTCCATTGAAATAATACTGTGCTTCCAGATTAAATACTAAGAAACATAGTTAATGCCCCTTGGTACGTTCAAAACAGTAACATTCACACAGACCTGAAGATGGGCATCGTTAACCAGTCCATCGAGAATTTTGCAAACAACGAATCCATAATCGCGTTAACACTTTAGCTGCCCATAACGTTCATTACGTCATGATAGTTCTTCCCCCATGCCCATGACGTTTTGTAACGTCATTTGCTACGATGAATGTAGACAAGCCGCCATGCAGTGAATTGTCTTTATAACCTCGTAGGCATGTGAAAGGGTTCTTAAATTAGTGCATTATCAATTTGGTTTTGATACTATGTTTATTAATTTAACATAGCAAGGCTTTAACAGGTTGTAAATTAAATAATGCATCACAGCAAAAGAATAAAAATGTAAAACATTTTTAGGAACGTTTAAACTATTAAAATTATAAAACGATGTGAAAACAACCAAATCTGTGAAGCGTAACTACCTACAGGGTGTTAAATATGGTTTTACAACTTTTATATTAAACATTTCTATGTTTCTCCAATAATAAAACAGATATCAATCAATTGCCCACTGTATAATTAAAACACTGTATAAAATGAACCAATTCATTCATCGCAGCTTAGTCTTTATTTTAAACAATTTAAAAATCATTTGCCTACATAATTTGTGATAATTTTATTTGGAGTCTGCATCATTCTCTAATTTCACAAAAAAATAATTTCTTCGCAACAATGTAATTTTTTTTAACATTCTAGGGTTAAATACAATATTACCATGCCACTATAAAACTTTTTACTTTCCAGACAAAAGCGTAATACCCTGTATATCCAAACATATTTTTAAATTATGTTTTTTAAATCCACATTACTTTTGTTCCAAACAATGTGTAACACAAATTGAAATATCCAGCAATTACGCACTAATGGGGCAGCCTGTATTTAACTACGTCGAAGATTTTACGTCTTTTTTATCCTTTCAGGCATCCTTTTAAACTACTCTTGATTGTTTCTGACTCCCAGCCTTGAATTATCCAGCCTTTCCTACAGGATTTTGACATGGGTGGCACTCCAGCTTCATTAACTACCACCATTTGGATACCCTACGTCTTCTGATTTATTAATTCCTCATTCATTCCACTTCACACTTATAGTATCGAGTCACCTATCCACGAAGTGCTTGACTACCTTGATCGATAAATGAATATATAGGTACACCGTCAGCCAGCGGCCCGTTAATATACTTCTTTGACTTCCTAGAGGCCTATATTCTTTTCTCTTTTTATGTTAACTTCTGTCCGTATTTATAATCACCATAGCTATTACCCAGAATAAATATTTAATATTTGCTTTCTATAACGCCCATGACGTTAATGAACGTTCAAACGATAGACGACAGCGTGTACTCAGGGTTGTTACAGGCTACACAATTGTGTAGAATGCTACATTTTTTACTAGAAACTTCACAGGTGCATCCCTATGACCAATTTCATTATTTTGCTACACATTTTTAACAAACAGCACAAAAAGTGCACGATAGGCCAAAAATACCAATTATATGCGATTTTCCTTCTCTTTATAGGCAAAAAAATTACTTAAAAACTGTCTGGTTACATGCGCCATCTAGCAGCTACTATTAACAATAGCCCATTTAAATCAATAAAACGAAATACAACTTAAGAAATAAATCGCGAATTAGACAAACGGTACCGCATGCGTCGACGCTATTTTAAATTTCTTCATCTATCACTCGTAGGTGCATAATGCTACACAATTTTGTTACAGATTGCTGCACTTTAAAAATTAAGTCCGTAACAACCCATAGTTGACATTAAAGCTTAGGCAGCGAAAGTGTTAATATTGAGGCTATCCTGCTCCTCAATAACAGTAATTTGAAAAGAATACTCAAAAGAGTTAGTGACATAGAAAAGCAGAGTAAAGTTCGGCAGATACACACAAACTAGTTAAAATCAAACAATAACCTTTATCACTTTGCAATATAATCTATTTATGTATCGAAACATCAATGCCTTAGTAATCTTCGTACTTGTACTCAAAAAAATCTTATAAAAATACAGCTATATTCTTCAGAGAAAATTTATTCAATAAACGCACAATAAATAAATGATTAAATTTGTAAATTTTATTTGCAGTACCGGCTATAGTAAACTATGCGATGGGCATCATCCTCATGACGTCAGTCGGTGCGGCACTTCTAGAATTATACCGAGCCAAACGTAATCCGGAAAAAAAAGATGGCAAAAACTCTCTCAGCAGGAAATGCTCTCTGGCCGACTTAACGGTGATGAAACATCAGAGGAAGGAAATGGTGAGACGAGAGTCGATTATGGAAATTCCCGAGGAAAGCCTCTTCTCCAAACAATTGGGTAGGAAGCTGTCCAGACCACCATTGCGTTTTGACTGAAGGTAGAGCGCGATTTGGTGGTTAAATGTTATATGTTCGTGTAGAGAGTTGACGGTAAAAATTGTTTTTTTTTGTCAGTGTATTTTAGTTAGTCATACAATGGGGTCTATTCTGTAATAATTTCTTTATATTTAAGGGCCTTTAAAAATATTTTCTTCTTTTATTCGGTCACTATTTAAACGGATCTTTGAAATACATTAGAGGACTATCTTAAAGAAATCTGTTTAAATAATGATAGAAGTAAATTAACGAATACAAATATACTTTTAAAGGCCGCCAATATTTTTAAAGGCCGTTAAATATAAAGGAATTGTTACAGAATATACCCCAATGTCCCTATTTTATTGTCTCAAAGCTACTGTAAAACATAAAAGATAAAGTCAAAAATAAAATATTTAAAACTAAGAAATCGCTTACCCACGCACCACACACTCTGGTATAAATGACGTCTTTTGTTAGGTACTACCATACTTATGAATAAGGTTGATGTACTACCCAATATTATCGTTAAAATGTCCGAGCTATTATAAACATATATTATTTGTCATATATACAGTTCGATTCTAATCTATTAATTTATCCACCTATAATATACCGTTTTTAATATATGTACGGCATTATACGTATGAATATAGTTGATTTGCTACGCAATATACAGGGTGTTAAAAAAAAGTGTCACAAAATGAAATGGTGAATAGTATGACCCAAAATAAGCAGAAAAGTCTTAATAAATATATGACCGCAAATTAACGGTTTCGGAGATACGGACCATTTTGTGTTTATAACAATGTTTTATTATTATAAAAAAACAATGATATTTATAAACAATCAATAACAACATAGAGTTAAATGAGATGTTCAAATACTGACGTAGCGCTTCCCTCGCATTGCCATTTGCACGACCGTACATAAAATGCATGTCAACTAATTCAATATTAGTGTAAACAGGCATAACGAAAATTTATAAAATTATTCACCCACAACAAAATAATAACTGCAAATAGTATCTATGAAAAAACATCGGTAGACTCCGATAAGAAAAGCAAGTTTTTGAGAATGAAAAAAGATAATCAAAAATATGATACAAAACACAAAACACTCCGTATCTCTGAACCCATTCATTTGCGGACATATGTTTATTAAGGTCAAATGCTGGAGGGGCCTTCTAATATTCTAAATGGTTTTGCAAATCTTTTTAAACAGTCCTATACTATTTCTTCCCCTTTTCAACCCAATTCTGGGACAAATAATAATCACTTTTTAAATATTACAAGCTTCAGTGAAAAGGAAGTATATGAGGCACTAAGATCACTTAAGCCAAAAAAGACCACCGGATCAGACGATATTCCAGCTTTTGTCCTAAAAGATTGTTCTTCTGTGCTTGCTCGTCCCCTCTCCATACTAATTAATATTTGTTTAAAATCGGCTACAATACCAGAGGTCTGGAAATCCTCAAAGGTCTGTCCCATTTTCAAGAAAGGAGATAGACAAGATATTTCAAATTATCGACCTATCTCTATTATATGCAACTTTGCAAAGGTTTTTGAAATCCTGTTAGAGCGAGTTATATGTCGTCATGTAAGTTGTAATATAAGTATAAATCAACATGGTTTCATGAAAAGTCGTTCAACAGTCACCAACCTCCTGACCGTTACCCAATATATTGCTGAATCTATTGATAACAGAGCCCAAACTGATGTTATTTACACAGACTTTTCTAAGGCCTTCGACAGACTTGATCATGGCATTCTGCTTAACAAACTTGTAGCTTTTGGATTATCTCCTTCTTTAATTTCACTATTTCAATCCTATCTATGGGATCGAAAGCAATATGTCCAGCTTAATGGTTTTAGGTCTGCTGAATATAGTGCTTCTTCTGGTGTTCCACAAGGGTCGAATCTAGGACCCCTCCTTTTTATTATGTTCATTAATGATATTGCAGATGTTATAAATGTAAATTTGCTTTTGTATGCTGATGATCTAAAACTATACTGCCTCGTAGAGAAGATAGGTGATTGCGAGAACCTTTCAGCAAACCTAACACGGATTGTTGAATGGTGTTATCAAAATAACTTGTCACTAAACCCAGATAAATGTAAAGTTATGTCGTACAGTTTAAAAACGAATATCCTAATATTTAATTATTCAATAGAAAACGTTGCTCTTGAGCGACCGAAAACATTTACTGATCTTGGCGTCACGTTTGACACTGCACTATCATTTAATAAGCATATTGATAATGTTGTATCCTCCTCCTATCGAATGTACGGATTAATTGCACGTAGCAGTAGTGATTTCAAAGAAACCTCTACCTTAAAAACTCTATTTTATGCTTTTATAAGATCAAAGTTAGAATATGCTTCAGTTGTGTGGAGCCCCTTTTATCAGAATCATATAGATCGAATAGAAGCAATTTAAAGACGATTTTTAAAACTGCTAAGCCTGAAAACTGATGGCATTTATCCTCTAATAGGTACACCTCACACTGAATTACTACAAAAACATAACTTTTTCAGTCTCGATAGAAGGCGTGATTATTATAGTGTAGTAGTAACTTATAAAATTATTAAAAGTATTATTGACTGCCCAACCTTATTAGAAAAGTTTAATATTTGCATTCCCAGAATTTCTTCCAGACACCCGAATACTTTTTATATAAATACATCTCGCACAAATGTTCTGGAAAATTCTCCGCTCCATACCATGTGTACAGTAACAAATTCTATTGTCAATGAACTTGATATATTTAGTTGCAATTTGTCAGATATAAAATCTCACTTTTTATCTTAGTTAATTTGTTACCTATTACGAAATACAAGTTCTTTTTATGTGCTTAACATTCATATAAAAAATGTGATCTTTTAATAATTATATTCTGTCAATTCCTGCTCTGTAATTGGGTTTATGACCTGTAGAGTATTGTATTATAAATAAATAAATAAATAAATAAATTAAGACTTTTCTGCATATTTTGGCCCATAATACCCCCCGTTTTATTTTGTGACACTTTTTTTTAACACCCTGTATACGTGAACATGTCCTTTGATTCATAGGCATGACTCATGTTTCTAGTTTGATCAAAAATGGCCTACTTAAGAAACATTTTTTTTATCACATTATAATATATAGAACAAAAATATTTTATTTCACAAAATAAACAATAAAATCCTAAATGACAAACTGAACGGGATCTTTTTTTAACAAACAAAAAAATATAAATTGAAATAAAAATCTCAAGTCATCGTTTTAATATAAATGTCATATCACTTTTAAGAGAAACTAAATGTTTCAGGTGACATAATAAAAAATATATGAATGTAGTATATAGTATATTACATTACGAGTGTGGAAAGTGATATTTTTCACACGAGTGGGAAATATTGTCGCACGAGGCGCAAGCCGAGTGCGACTATCACACGAGTGTGGAAAATCACTTTTCACACAAGTGATGTACAATATTTTTCCTACGACCACAAAATAATATCATCAAAAAAATGTAAAACCAAGGTTATTATTACTATAATAATTAAAATGTATTTAAAAAAATAATCAACAATAATAATCGTATTTATTCAATTTTCATATTTTTTAAACAAAAAAAAAACTAGAAAAAAAAACAAAAAAAAAACAAAAAAAATTTCTGCCACGCCAGGATTTGAACCATCGATTGAACGCGGTCGAAAAATGGCAAAGTTGATAAGTTCGACGTCCTAACCACCTGAGCTAATAGCCCTTGTGTCAATTGAATGATCTAATCGATTATGTATTCAACCAGAATAAAGAGCAAACATTATTTTAAAATTATTTTAATAATAATTGTTAAAGATAAATATCTAGGATCTAATTTACAACAATTTCAATAATTTAACAATCATATCGATTTTAGTATTAATATGGATATTACATAGATCAAAATGGAAATTAGCTGTTTGACATTTTGTGACAACTACTGCGGAAAGTAACATATTCTCACTCGGGTGGAAAGTAAATTCTTATTCATACGCGTGTGATATAGGGCACTTTCCATAGGACTATATAGTGTGATATGTGTCACTTTCCTAAGTGGTCGTAGGAAAAATAAATATTCCAATAAGGTTTTACCTGATTTAAATAAACCTAAATGTATTATTTACTTCTGTCTACTAGTTTATCGCAAACTGGAAATATACGTTCAAGATAAATTATATTTAGTAGTATAATATAAATCGTAGATATTATTCAACTGCTCAAATATTGGCATTTTCATGAGCGAAAATAAAGATTTAGAGATTTTTATTTTCGCTTGTAGTATAATATACAATAACTAGTATCTACAAAAAACAGTTTAATTATCCGTTAAAAATAATAGATGTTGAAACTTTTAAGAAATCAACCAATACGAAATTAAACGAGAATTATTAACAAAAAACACATATTAATATATTTTTATAATATATACATTTATACGAATTGAATTAAAATAAACAAATATTTAGGACCAATGTCTATTAAATCGTTCATCGCAAACTAAAAATAGTCGTATATTGTTAACTATATTTAAACGTAGAATAATATACAATTATATATACCATAGGACATATAAAAAAACATAATAAATCATTTAAAAAACGTAATAATCGTAGACTGTAAACGCATACGAAATGAACAAATACCAAATTTAAACGAGAATTACCTATGTATAAAATACGTTAATTATACTAATGTGTGCTGCCTGGGTATTTTCCACTTTCTGGTACTGTTTTGTTGGTTAACTTTATTCTTTATTTGAGAAGCGGACTTGCAAAACGCAGTTAGTCCAAATTTTCAATTTTGCAACTATATGTTGAATCGCTGTCGTTTTATAAAATCTTTTTTTTTTTTTTCGATTTATGGCCTAGGTGTATGTAACTAATATGCCAGTCTCAGTTTGTGTTTAAATTCTTATTCATGTGTGTTCTGTGTAGGCTTTGTTACTGTCTCCCAGCGCCACTTCACGAACAGCACTGTTAATTAGAACCCAACAGTGAATGGTCGAGTGGTTTTATACAATCTTGGATAAGCAAATATGCAAATCAATGTAGGTACATCCTACTTAAAATATATTGTGTAATTCTCTTAGACTTGTAAAATATATTTAGTCCATCGACATAAGACAAACAAGAAGCATTTTGTCCAAAAGATAACCAAATTGGGTTTAGTCCAGTCATAAATACGTTAAGTACCTTTGGGTCAAAAAATAAAGAAAACATAATTGGACATTTTGAAAAAAATTAGTGGAATCGTTGTCTGGAGAAAAGTGGAACAGTGATCTAGAGATGGAATGGCTAGTACCTATTTTTGCAGAATACTGTGAAGATTGAGAAACGATTGTCGAAGAAAATGAAGAATGTAGCGATATGAAAGTTCATAAAAAATAAAAATAAGGTTACTATTAATTAAGAACATGTTTTTGTTCGAGCTTTTTTCATTATTATTATTATTATTATTAAACCCAAAAATATGTTTAAGCGACAATCAAAAAGCTCTAGACACGTGCAAATAGAATTTTATCCAACTGTTTTTTTTTAATAATAATAAATCTATTTCCATTTTTTCTAGACTGAAAATCTAGTTACTTGTGTTATTAATGCTTGATTTTTTACAAGTAGCAACTCAGTAACTAAGACCGTTTTCAAGCACCAGTTTTTTTTTCGTACCTGAAAATTTACAATTTTTGACAAATGGCATTTTGCAAGTCTGCTCCTTTTGTTATAACATTTGATAACAAAATATCGTCTAATATGGAACAGCGACTTATAGGTAACAATGTTCTCTACTAATTTTTACTTTTTAATTTATGAGCATACTCTTCTAACTTTATTTTTTTTTTAATCGACTTGAAAAAATGAAGAAAAAGTTATAAAATAAATCACCTAAAAATAAATTAAAAATTAAAGGGGCTCCCCTACTAGAAATGTGTTTTTTTGTTATTGTTGTTGTTGTTGGCTTTTTTGTACGATGGTGAGTCCGACTCGCACTTGGTCAGTTTTATTTAGTAAAATACATAAATTGGATTAATTTGAATTTAATCCAATATCTGAGACTGATATCTTGTATTTCAATAGGTTGAGATTGCACAAGAAAAATACAACTATTTTTCAATTTAATTAACTTTATTTAACCAACGGAAGAGATAGCATTAATTTATTTTGATTAGATGGTAGTACAAATTGTAAATATGTAGTTATTATATTAATTTTTCTTAGTAAATTGTTATTTGGTATTTCTGTATTTAATGTTATTTTATAGATGTCTGTATACTATTAAATCATAATACTTCATCGCCTTCTCTCCAACCCAAATGTATCTATTGTGGTTCACGTCCACCGTACAAGCCACCACAAGGCTCCAGTTGGGTGAATTCGAAAATCTGGAACCTAGTTCTTTCCAAAGCAGGTACATATAATAGAATGTTGCTCTGCGTATTCGTCTAACACGCTGCAGAATCGATAGTCAGCGTTTGCTGCAAACCTAACCTTCTCATGTGGTTACCTAGATCAAATCAGTCCCATGAGAATGCGTTCCTATTCCATGCCGGATCTGATCAGAGACGTTCATGACAGGATTGTGTATAGACAGTATTCTCTAACGATCATTTTTACTTCTGTTGAGTCTGAGACCATGCCGAAAATGTGGTGGTTATTAATTTCACTCATTAGATCCGTTTTGTCCCATCGCAATTTTTTCTTGTATGACTGCCCACCGTCACTGCTACCACCCTGTCCTTCTCCCTTCCATCAAAATTTAAAGAGGGGTTAGATCTAGCATAGCTCCCATCAGTGTGGTTGACATTACCCTAGTAATGGCGATGCATGCAAGCAGGATCCCAACCAGCTTGGCTCTGGCCGTCTGTTGAAGTCCCATTTCCCACCAGATGACCGAGCTATACGTAACTATGGGTTTGGTAAATCCAGTAGATCAATTGGATACTGATTCCCCATGTTTTGTCGCTTATTCTTCAGAAGGTCCAGTGGGATAATCTGGCTTTGTTGATGTTTTTTTATTGGATTTTCAGGTACGTTTTTTATCTAGGATATTCCCCAGATCATTCACCTTCTCTTTAAAAGGAATGGTTTCCCAGGCCAAGGTAGATTGTCGAATCTTGTCTTTTCTTCTCTTGGTAAAGGGGACAATAACAGTGTTCCCAGGGTTAACAGATGCTTCCTTTCGCACAATATGTTAATCGTATTTAGGGTTTGTTGAATTTTGTTGATGATCACATCTTCCATACTTCTCCCTAATTGTCATAAACAGATCATTCGCATAGCGTTAGAAATCTACCCCTCCCGACAGGGACCTTCTAGCATGTTATTCACCAAAAGGGTCCACAGTTGGGGTGAAAGTACTCCACCTTAAGGACATCTTCTGGTAGGCCTGAAAATAACTCTCGCACTCTCCCTGTGTTTTAGGGAATGATCAATTTTGCCTGCTAGATTGTATAAGGCGTGATCTGTCGATTTGCCCAGAGGCTTCCTTCTCTAATATGCTTATCTAGAATTATCTGCTGTCTTCAAAAGGAAGGATTTAGGCCGATAGGAATTTGATTTTACAGAAGGGCAGGAAATATGGGTGGTTTGAACGGGGGTAATGAATTAACCGCCCATTTCACGGCGCTTGGAGTGACAACTTGTGCTACGTAGTTTCAATCCTCCTTGAGTGACAACTTGTGCTACGTAGTTTCAATCCTCCTTCTTGAGTCGTCAATCCTCCTTCTTGAGTCGTCAATCCTCCTTCTTGAGTCGTCAATCCTCCTTCTTGAGTCGTGTGGTCGATTCCCTAGATGGAACGAATACGGGTTATCTGTCCTCCAGAATTCGACTGTCTGAGAAATGTTTCTGTAAGAGAATCTCTAACTTTCTTACCAGAGTCCATATAAGTGTCAGGGTTTTTTATTGAGCCGACTTTCTGTCTCGGATTTTTAGCGAAAATCTTGTGAAGTCTGGTGCTGGCATGTAAATCTGATATACTCTGACAGAATTTCTTTTACGGTTCCCGTTTGGCTTTTCTAATGGTATTGTTGTACTAAAACAATATTTCGAGAAACTCATATTTTGTACTGTGCGAAAAATTTAAAGGATCTTCTGAAGAATCTTAGAATCAATAAATATACATTACAGCTTATTAAATCATTTTGCCCACGTTTTTCATTGACATGCACCTCAACGTAGTTTATAGTCTTTGACAACAATAGAATACAATTCTTTTTAAATACGATTTTTTTTTCTAGATCATAAACCTACTCTTCTATATCGTCAAAGCTCATTCCCAGTAGGTCCGAGTAGTCTCCCACCCATGGGCACTCCCACGGCTCGAAGAAGACTTTCTATACAAGCCACTAGGTTCATTCCAGTCGTTGATGGTAAACCAGGAGCAGTAATTAGAAGGCGGACGAAGGCACTCCATAGTTTCAGATGGCAGGCAGCCGCTTATTTTAGAAGCAAAACGAATTTCTGTAGACGGAAGAGGCATGATTTACGATACGGTTGCGATGGAAGACTCCCCTGAAAGAAGACATCATGGTAGGGGTAGAATTGTGCACAGACATTGAATACAGAGTCTCCATTTATCAACAAAGAGTGACGACACAAACGTCATCTAAGAATGATAGTTATAATTTTCACCTCATTTGTTGGTAGATTGAAAGACTACCCACCACACAATACACCAAATCCCAGAGATATTTACAGAATATCTTTTGTGAGATATCCAATATATCCACAGGATATCAGAAATATTCCGTGGATCTATTATGGATATCCAAAAGTCCGTCTATATCCAGAATATAGAAGATATCATATGGATATCCAGCAAAATATCGAATGAGTATCTTCCAGACAATACAAGAAATCCCAGAGATATCCACAGAATATATTCTGTGGATATCCAATAGGGATATCCAACCAAATGTCCGTCTATATCCCAGGATATAGAAGAATTCGGATATTCAGCAAAATATTTTATCTTTAGTAGAGGATTATTGAATTAAAGTCGAAAGAAAATAGCAGAGATAAAAAATATTTTCAACACTCTGCCTTTGATTTTGCCCACTAAGGAGAAAGTTATCCTTATTAGAACTCTTCAGCAATAAATGAAAATTCTCGACTCCAGTCTCTAATGGAGTCTGATTGTGAAACAAATTTCGATCGAACTCAATGCGCTAGTTCAGTGATGATGTAATTATGGTTCCACTGACAATTAAAGTGACAATAGATTTTTTTGAGGGCGTTTTGCTCGTTTTTGTTTACCTAAATTATATCGTTTTTTTTTCACTTTTATAAATATATTCCTAAAGTAAGTAGATAACATGTATCAAATATACAATCGTTTAGTTACCAATTACATACCTTTAAACTATTTTTTATGACCTGTAAACAATATTTTGAAATAAAATAAAAACATTAAAAACGTATATGTCAAATTTATTGATGTTTTTGTTAAAAGTTTGGTTAGAATTAAATGTCAGTGGAACCAAAATGACATCACACTGAACTAGCGCATTACGGCGGGTTGAGCATAAGTAGATGCGAAAGTAGTAATCGCCATCTATACTTAGTAAGTAAAATCAAAAATTACATCTAGTGGATATCCACGATGGTTTGCGTTCCGCGCCTAGATTTTGATATATTTAGTGGATGTCCATGGGATATTGAATACACCTTAAAAAAATTAATTTTAAATATCTGAACGGTACTATTAGCCACAATGGCGTAATTTTTTAATAATTTAGCTATATAATTACTATTATTTATGGACATTTGCATGTCTATAAATTACAGCTCATGGATATAAAAGAGATGTCCCCCATGGACTGGACATTTCAGTGGATATTGGGATGTTCAGTAGATATCCAAAGGATTTGGTGTGCTGTCTGGGTAATAGGAAGGTATTCTCTTTATCTGTTTTAATTGTATTTTAATTCGCAGAAAATAAATGTGGACCAATTAAAAACAAAATAATAATGAAAACATTAATATTTCATTCATTCAATGAACAAAATGGTAAAATGTTTCGTGGAAATAATTTTCTTAAAAAAAAAAAACATTGAAATGATCAATAGTTCGTTAATTTCATTGTTACATTATGAATTATTCACAACCAGATATCAGTGTCGGATTGGTACCTCCAGGGCCTACCGGTTCAGGAGGGAGAAGGGCCCACCATCATTTTTTTTTTTTTTTTTTTTCATTGAAGAGAAAAAGAAGAATATATTTTTTTGCACTCTGATGCTGCTTTCTCGCAGGTTGGCATTTGATTATTTGTTCTTCTCGAGGGCCTACTGGTCTTTTGACCGGTAGACTGACTGCCCAATCCGATACTGCAAATAAAATAAAATACCAAGAATGACGTTCTCTTTAGTGAGCAAAATCAAAGGTAGAGTGTTGAAATTTAATTTCTATCTCTACTGTCTTTCCTTTGGATATAATTCAATACCTGTTGCGGTATTAGCCAAAGGAGTAGTTGTTTTCTGAAGGAAAACGGTTACTCGTATTTATGTGATACTGGCTTTGAGTTTTTATTTATTTTATTTTACTTCTTGGTCACATTTGAGTTGGAATTATTTTCCTTTCTATAAATAAGTAGTTCAGTTTTTTAAGTGGAGGTGGCCTCTTATTTTCAAATCCCGTTTTGCACTAATGCAAATGGGTAATCTTCGATGTTCTAGATCTAGACCTGTTTAATATACTTACAATTTTCTACTCTCTTGAGACCCATGACTGATTTAGTCGGGAGTATACTAAGTGTAATGTAAGGTTTAATTAATAATATTGAAGTAATTATTACTTTTTGAAATTTTTTCGCTAAAAAACTAAGTGTGGATTTGAAAAACTAAGGACAATCGAAAGTAGAAATGATATATATTTTGATAAACGTGTTTTTCTTAAAATTGGGTGTTTAATAACTATCAAATTGAAATCTATTAGATATTTAGTAGAATTTCTATTCATCTTTTTAAATTTATATAATATAAACTTAAATAATATTAATATTTTTAAAACTGTTTTAAACATAGATAGTTAAATATTTTTTCTTCGAAATGTTGTTTTTACAGGACGTGGTTTAAAAAGGTTTATAATATACACTAATTTAATTTGGCCGTTTTTCCACAAAAAAGTGTTTGTTGTTTTCGCTAAAAAACCTCTATATACTTTGGTCACTTTTGGTTTGTAATTTCTCAATCGCTCATCAGTATGTGTCCTGACTTGTTAATTGTTTTATTCGCTTAGTTCACTAGACTTGTTTTTGGACTTCAGTTTCTTTTTGTTCTAGATTTTTAGATTCAAAATTAAAATATTTTTATTTTGGAGACAATTTGAGTTTGAAGATAATATCCTTTCAACTGTTATAGTTCCTTAATACTTCTTTTGGAATAATATACTAAGTTATTTTATGTACCGTTGTAGCAACTACTAATTATGCAACCAACTCTACGTCATGATATTGGGTTTGGACATGTATGGACCATGTTTCGTAGACACCACGGTGGCCTCTTCATCCGTTGCTAAGGAAGGCTGAGACCTCACGGAATGCAAAATCGAGTTGACAGAAAATATTCTGCTGCGGTTCGTACCTTAGTTTTTTAAAAAATCTAATATTTTATTAATATTTAGTGGTGTTCATATTTTTATTTTTGGACTATACACCTGCGTTTGAGTTTTTATAAAATCAGTATTTGATTTTTTGAAAGACAAGTCACAAAACTACATGGAAAAATCGTGAAATGATTTCCATCAAATTTCAAATGAATTACTTTTTATTTGAATTATAAAGAGAAATATTATTGTGTGAATGATTTATTTTAAACATTTTGGATTAGGGAATGGCCTCGTTGCTAAATTCGGATCACACTTTGATTATATCCCGAAATATTTTGAAATTTTGGCATGCCTGGAGCGAGCCGTAGTTTTGGTGTTGGCAAACAATTTTTACTGTTTACACACAAAAATCGTTAGAATAAATAAATAAACTGAAATTAAAGACTAATGGTAAGATTTTAGAGTAATTATTCTGCAAATATCATTCACCATTTTTAAATTAATTTCAGTTTTGTCCACCCTACATTTAAGGTAGTTCACTCGTAAAACGGCTTTTCTTAAGAATTCAATAATTAAATATAAGGTTAATGAAAGTCTTATGTAAATAAAAAAAATTAAATTTTTTGACCGTCTGTGAAACGAGATATTAACAATCAAAATGTGCATAATTAACACTCTTGAAGCCTCTCATGTAAACAAGTAATGCATTTATTTCCAGATATCTCGCAAACTGTTATCACCATATTTTTTAAAAACTAATGTAATGTAAATCAAGAAGTTATAAAATTTTCTAAAGAAACGCTGAATTTTTGACCGTCTTAGTAAAAGATATAGATTTTTAAAATAAAAATATTTTTAAAGCAATCGACGCGTAGTTGGTAAAATTATTACAACTTGGCAACGTTGTATACGCTGCAATCAACGCGTTGTACCAAACTAACAGAGTAAAACAAGATGAAGCTGACTCTGATTTGAAAGAAATTAAAGCAGGAGTACCACAGGAAAGCGTCCTGGGACCCACTTTGTTTCTGTTATACTCTTGTGACATACCCCAACTAGAACAAGACACAATAGCTACATTTTCAGATGATACTGCCATCCTAGCGATAGGCAAAGATCATGAAGAGGCTGCAAATAAACTACAAACATTAGTTAATCAAATAAATAATCATTACCAATAATCAAATAAATGGACCAAAAGATGGCGTATTAAACTAAACGAAACCAAATCTGTTAATATTAATTTTACTAACAAAAATGATGAAAGAATACCAATTAACATAAATAATGCTCAGGTCCCTTATGCTAACTCGGCAAAATATCTAGGTATTACATTAGATGCAAGACTTCGCTGGAAGGTCCATGATAAAAGAAAAGACAAGAGTTAGATAAAAAATTCAAGAAAATGTACTGGTTACTTGTTAGGCATTCCAGCTTATCTACACATAACAAAATTCTATTATATAAACAAGTTCTCAAACCAATTTGGACCTATGGCATTCAGCTCTGGGGTTGTGCCAGCTACAGTAATATTCTAATAATCCAGAGATTCCAGAACAAAGTATTGAGGAACATTGTCGATGCTCCTTGGTACATTAGAAACAGCGACCTTCATCGAGACCTCAGATGGACAATGTTGACCAGACTATCACCAGATTCGCTAGGAGTCACGAACAGCGGCTCCACCAACATGTGAACGTTGAGGCGATCCAGCTTCTTGACAACACGAACCTGACAAGGAGACTTCAGAGAGTGAAACCTTTTGAGTTAGCCAAATGATTGTGTTAATAACAAAGCAAAGCATTGTGCGGTTTAGTGTTACCACGTTAGTTTAGTGTAATTAAGTTATTAGACCCTAAGGTATACTAGCGAGTAGAACTTTAGTTTTTAAGATTGCAACCCTAGTTAAGTTAGGTTATAACAAAATTACTCATTGATCAACTCTTGATCAGTTTGTAATATCAATAAACGCCCCTTCTGGAATGTTTTTTCACAAAAAAAAATTAAAATTTGATGGAGATCATTACATGATTTTTCCTTGCTGTTTTGTAGCTTGTCTTTCAAAAAATTACACTACCGATATAATACAAACTCTAACAACAGAACAAAGTTCAAAAATAAAAATATAAACACCGCTAAAT